ACAGAGATGCACATCACCTAATATGCTTAATTGGTAGTAGGCTTTCGAGCCTATACAGCTTGGAGTAAGACAACATGCATGAAGAGGATGAAGTGGACAAAATACTCATTTGCCTAATAATTCTGCACTCCCTGTATATATATGCATGTATATACACATTCAACGTGCTTTAATGGGCCTTTTTGAAAAATATATATCTTGAAAACTTTTTATATATGTTCAAACTTTATACCATAAAATGTTTATACAAGTTGTAACAAGTAGATTTAATTTGATTTGAAACAGAATGACACAGAATTCAGTTGTGTGTAAAAATGAACATGGACTTGATCAAGGTAGAGGAAATTCCTTATTACCAAAGTGAGTCCATTAGATGGCAGCAATGCAGCACGTAAACGTAATATGAAATCTGGGCAAGGACATTTAAATAATACACAATATCCACACTGCCCTGCAGCAAGAGAAAAGAGACCTGGACTTTGTAATTTATTCATCTTATTTTAAACCCTTATAAGTAATCTACCATAAGTTGCAGTTGGTTTAGTTGATTGTGCGTAACAATAGTAGCTAATAGATAAAAATGTTAGTCAATTAAAAACCAGTTGTCATAAAAAGCTGCATTTTATTTCCTGAATATGTATTTAATCCTCTTTCCAGCTGCTCGCACATGATAGTAATAACAGTTTTATTCATACAGCACCTTTAAAAACAAATGGTTTCCAACATGATTTGGCAAGCAAGCAAAAGCAGGAAGTCATTCAAATCTGAAATCTAAACTGTGAGGGCAAACAAGACTAGATACATTAAAGGTAAGTTAAGATTTTTTTAAGTTCAATATAAAAAAGAACAGAAGCAATAAAAAAAACCTAAAAAAAAAAAAGTCAGGAAATGAAAATAAAAGATATTTACAGCTGTAAGATGACATCATCAGGTCCAAATTCCCCTACATAAGACTTTAAATAGTTTACATGAGCCAAATAAAAAAAATATGGCTCTTGCATTTTTTTAATGGAGCGCAGATTCGACTGGTGGCCATGTTTGCTATTCAGTCCATGATTTTGGTGCAAATTCGGTGGCATTAATATGTATTAAATGGTGCAGAGAGGATTTACTCTAATAACTAAACTTTGGACAACTAGACAAATTAAAACGACCAATATTTCCTTCTTTTATATATTTAAAAGCAGTTTGTTTTCTAGAAGTCTTGAGATAAAAAAAATTCACCCAGCGCTCAGAGAACTGTTCCAATGCCCTCTGAGGTCTGAGATGTTGACCTGCTGAACCTTGACCCTGACATCCTTTCCTGTCTGAGCTTTCTATGAAGAAGCAGTTTCATCTTCTTCCTGAACTTCTCTCCCACGAAGGCGTAGAGGAAAGGGTTGATGCAGCTGTGCAGCAGAGCCAGGCAGTGGGTTGCAACCACCGCTGTGCTCACCGACCTCCTCATAGCGCAGTTGAACTGTACTACATCAGCCCTCAGCAGTATGTCTACCATGATGGTTATTTGGTATGGTGTCCAGCAGAGCAGAAATGCAATCACCACGGTTATGATCACCCGCATGGCTCGGTGCTTCTGGAAACCACGAGTGAGCAGCAGCCGTGCAACAGTGATGCTGTAGCAGGAGATCATGACAATCGCAGGGACCAAAAATCCAAAAATATGAATGAAGCCCCGAGTGGCGATCCGCCATACGGTGGAGCTGCCGATGTCAAAGCTCACAGAGCAAATCATCTTCTCGGCATCTGCCTTATTGACATCATTAAAAAGAGCAGGAAGAGCGAGGGCACAACCGAGGGCCCACACCGCTGTGCAGAGCATTTTGCTGCACATCCTCTGACGGCTCTTGAGTGTCTCCCTGGCGTGCACAATCACAAGGTAACGATCGATGCTAATACAGGCAAGGAAGATGATGCTGGTGTAGAAGTTTGCATCCATGACGAGGTTGAGGAATTTACACAGGAAGTCTCCAAAGATCCATCCTTGGATCAGTGCTACAGCAAAGAACGGGAGCGTCAGAGCCATCAGTCCGTCTGCTATGGTCAGGTGGAACAGGTACACATCTGATGGAGTCAGAGTTTGTTGGCTGGTCCTGATCACCCATCCTACCAGCATGTTTCCTGGTATAGCCAGTAAGAAGATGCCTATGAGGATTTTACATAGGATAATAGCTGCTGAAGGTTCCAGTGGTTTGTTTCCACATTTTAAGGTAACTGGATCTGGAGTGAATGTGCCGGATTCATTGGACCCATTGAAATTGGAGTAATTTCCAAAGAAATCGTCTTCAAAGACATAGACAAATGACATGGCTGTAGATGGGAAACAGAATGATATTAGTGCACTACCAACACTATGCAAACACAGGAAGCGTATGGACAAAAGTTGATTTTTTTTTGACTTGTAAAAATTGTATAATTTGTGGTTGCAAAAGTTGCCTTTCGTAGCTTTAAATCAAACTTGTGCTGAACTAAACAGCTACCACTGTGACAGTTTAAAGAACATCTTTAATAAATTATAACCTCCAGAGAAGTGCCTGACCTGACCTGATGAACTCGTTTTATTTTTTCACATATTATATATATTTTATTCTCTATATGTGGTATTTATTTATTATAATTTGCTTTCAGTACTCCAATTTTGTTGTACTATTGTACATAGCGTGACTGTCCAATGAAAATAAGACTTAAAGTTAAATAAGATGCAGCACAATTAGGAGGCACTGATACAGTGACTCAGTAATTAGATTACAGAGAAATATCTGTTTAATATAAGCGACGGTTATTGTATCAGCTCCTAAGTGGGAGGCTTAAAATATGTTTCATGGCTTAAAAGTCTTTTGTCATTTTTTCTGGTATGATAGTTGGTATATATGATGTAATTTTATATATAAAAAGTCCCAGTTTATCACTTTAATTCTGCCCTTTTATTCGTTTTTTCATGTGTACCCATCTATATAAGAAGAATGTATTAAATCAGACACTCACCTCTAAAGATGACAAAGGCTGGGCACCCAAATGAGTCTGATGTTCAAGAGCAACTCTTTAAACATGATACAATTTGGGGATTTTGCGCAGCACTGACCCAATGTCCTGTCTCCTTCCCCATGTGTTACAGCACACAGCATACAGCTTGTGTCATCACATGTTTTTGAAATGTCTTTAAATGAAGACGTTGCGACATATACTTAGAGCACAGACGCAAATATAAAATGAATTCTCCAGTTTGTGTCGCAGTGATTGCTCACGGTGACAGTTTACAGCAGCAACAACTCTCTTCAGGTAATTATTAACATCTGTGACTTTTCACACTCTTTGTACCAGAGGGGAACTGCGGTCTGAAAAGATGGTGAACTGGTTAAAAAACCACACATGAGACAGGCTGGTAGTTCATGAATTTATTTGTGTTCATTTAATCACAAGGTATCCGGCATAAGTGAAGCTCACCTGTTTGGTCGTTGAGCTATATGAAAAACAGGAATAAGCTGCTAACCGATAATCCCATTATAATGTAAATGTATTAATCAGTTAAATATATTAAAGAAGCTCTAATTAGCAAACTATGACACTCAGAGTATTAAGAACACCTGTTCAACTGCTCATTAACATGGGTAAAGCAAATATCAGATCAGCCAATCAGAGGTTACCGAATAAGTGAATAAGTGAACAGAGAAAATATTCAGTGAGCGTCAGTTCTCTGGACGAAGACGAATCGCTTTTGCCAAAGCTCAGAAGAGAGCAGGCAGCTTGCTGCGAGGAAGGCGACTTAAACCACCACTCGTTCCAAACAAGGAATGCAGAAGAGCATCTCCGAGCACACGACACGTCGAGCAGCAGAAGATCGCAGCGCACCACTAACGATGGCTAACAACTCAGAACTGAGACTATATTTAGTATGGGCTCATCAAAATTTGGCGACTGCTTGGTCGATCTTAATTTCTCCTGCGACATTCAGATGATCAGGTCAGCATTTGGTGTAAACAACATAAAAGCATGGATCCATCTTGACTTGCATCAATGGTTTAAGCTGCTGGTGGTGTAATAGTGTTACTTTATGACCACACTGTACTCATCATCTGATGGATAACACACCACATGAAAAAGCTCAAATCATCTCAAACTGGTTTCTTGAACATGACAGCGAGTTCACTCAGACGGCCTCCACGGTCACCAGATGTCAATCCAACAAAGCACACTATGTGGTGGAACAGGAGAGTCACGTCATGGACAAATCTGCAGCAGCTGTGTCTGTCGCAACGACATGGACCAAAATCTCTGAGGAGTATTTCCAGCAGCTCGCTGAACCATGAAGAAATGAGTAGTAAGCTGTACCTAATAAAGTGGGTGGTGAGTGCATATTAAAGCAGTTCAGTAGATCATAAGATTGTCTGTTAAAACAACAGAATAAAAGCAGAAGAATGAAATAAATATAAGATGATCCAACTAAATCAAAGGGTGATGACTGAGAGCAGTTTACTTCTGTGACTTTTTCCATGTTGTGTTTTGTTGTGTGTCATTTACTGTTTTTTGTCTCACGCTAGTTTCTTCTTCTTTTTTTCTTCTTCTCTGGATCCCAATCATCCGTCACCCAAATACTAAGTGTTACAGGAAAACTTTATTTTGAAAATTGATGGGGCTTTTTTCCATTTCCACATCGCTGAAGAAAAAAAATCCCACCGTGCTCATTTCCTCCATTTTTAATGCCATCGTATCTGTGAAGAAAAAGGAAAAAGACACGCATGCTCAATCAGACACTCACATTTTGTAAACTTGCTGATAATTATCAAAGAAAGAATTTTTTTCCTTTCTGTCCTTAAAACATCTTTATGTCACACTAATACTGACTACAGGAATTCGTTGGGTAATCAGCTATAAGGTGTTTCACAAATCAGTGGGTTAGGATATCAGCGGTGTCACTTTCTGGAAATGAAACACTGACATGTTATTTCAAAAGTCCTGTTTTCCTTTCACTCATTTCTCACACTGTGGCTGCTGTTAGGTAATGGTAGTTGACAGGTGGGCTACATGTTTATGCACATGCATCGCTATTTCAGCTATTTTCACGAGAACTTCTAGGCGAGCATTGTTATACATGTCGTGTCAAACACCAATGAGTACGAAGAGGAAAAATGAAAATCATACATCTAACGATAGGGGACCAAGGTGCCTCCATGACAGCCCGTCATGCTCCTGTATATGTAAAAAACTCCTCTTCTTCGGCTCCATGAATCATTTCAGGCTGTCAGAGGGAAAGCACACAATAACCAGCCGGTAGGCTCCATCTGTTTGAGAACATAAGCTCAACCTCACTCAATTACATTACCGTCACGGTGCCAGGAAGCACAACTGTCCCCTAACTAGAATGGCCTGTTTTTAATTTAATGTTAGTTTAGCAAACAAAGTTTGGGTCAACAGTGTGTGTGTGTGTGTGTGTGTGTGTGTGTGTGTGTGTGTGTGTGTGTGTGTGTGTGTGCGTGCGTCACACCTGGAGTTCAACTGATCTAGTGTTTGCAGTGTTACGGTTAAATGACTACAGAGACATGAGGGTAGAAGGAGATGCTTTTGTAGTTTAGTTTCAGTTTAGATTCTTCTGCTTTCTTTAGCTTGTGATAAAAAAAAAATCAGTAAAAATGAACTGAATTCCTCTGCTAAAAACACATATTTCACGTATCTATAATATTATACTTATAGACAGTCAAACATAGTAACAATGATATTTGAAAATGTCCAACTAGCCCTGTAAGTCTGCATTCAGCATGTTTGTTGTGCCAACTGCTCGCACCTGTACAGGTCGAACTTTGCAATTTGCATTGCTTTTCATAAAAATGGTAAATGGCCTGTATTTGTATAGCGCTTTACTAGTCCCTAAGGACCCCAAAGTGCTTTACGCAACCAGTCATCCACCCATTCACACACACATTAAAAGACGTAAACATCAGTGTGAAATTTGACACACGCTTCTTGGGAACGCAGGTTCCCAGGAAGACTTTGGTGTTTTTGCCAAATGCCTGACTGACACCTCGGTTCTTTTTTGTCTTTTTCCAGCGAAGTCAGATTTTCTTTTCAGCAGACTGCCATCAACATTCCTTCAAGTGCTACTGCCGGCAGCTACAGACAATAGATTTAAGTACCTGTCATAATGAGTTTGTTTCTAAATTAGCACAGAGAAACATTTAGAATGTAAATTGTGAATGTCTGGATTGGGACGGGGTTGTTCATGTTTTTTATACTTCCCTGCGGACTGCTTTCACTTTGAATCATCAGTTTGTTTTCACCTTCCTGACAGTCAGTTTTGTTCTGCATTATAATTTTTTAATGTATTTTTTATGCTCTTTATGATATTATCATTATCATATCAAAAACTAAGATGAATGATTGATTGAAAACTGAAAAAAGAAATGTTCATGAATCTCAAAAATACCACAAGAGTATAAGAGTGCGAGCTGCACTTTATTTTATATTGTGTATGTTGTATATTGTATGTTTAACTGATTGTGCTGTTTGTAATGCTGAATTAGTGCGATATTATATGCTCCTTTATTTAATGAGTCCAGCTGAAAAAATGTTTTTATTTATTCCTTTTTATTTAAAAAAACGTTTTATGATGTTTTCATTACAGCGTGATGACATCGGCTTGTTATGGCATTGTGACATTGTAGTAAAAGACGCATCGTAGTGACGTTGTAGCGATATATTAAAATTAAAAAGTGTGCTGTAGAGCTCTCTCGATGCCCTTTCCTGTGATGAATTAATCAATATGGTTTATTGAACAAATTTTTCAAGGTCAACTTTAGTACCTTGTTATGATGTTTGAAGATTATCCATAAAATATTTTGCATAAAAGTTTAAATTTAGAGTGAACTTTTTTTTTTTTTTACCAACTTTTACATTTGGTCTGACCTTGAACTTGATTTTGACATTGACTCAATTTTCACCAAAATTAAATTAGCTGTTGCTGTTATAGGTATCTGTCACCACACAAAATGTGAAAATAATGTTTTTGAAACCTGTGGACACTAGACTGCAAACAAAAAGACAAACAAATGGAACCAACTGCATTCCCCTGCCTTCAGGGGGACATAACAATATAACTGCAACCATCTTCTGTCCCTTGCTTACTCCTTTTCTAGTATCTTAAAAAAATGAAAGTGTGCAGCAGTTCATGCAATTAATTCATTGTTTTTTGTTTTTTTTTTAATGAAGAAAAACGAGGCCCACGTGGAGTTGGTTTGTGAGGAGCCGTTTGTGTCTGTTTCCCAAGTTGTGCCGTAACTAACTTGACCTAATGCCAAGTTAGCCAGTCAACCAAACAAGCAAAGTTATAGGTTTTTAAAAATATAAAAACAGATATCTATTTGTTAAAACATCTTTTCCCCTCTAAGATGGTTTCTGTCGTGCAAGTTAATGGAAAAATTGTCCTTAACTTCAGATAAGGAATGAATTTCCTTCTATTTTTAAGAGCCATCCATTCTCTGTTCATACCTGATTTGCAACTGTAGCCAACGAACGCAGTTTCAGTTTTACTGTCTTTGAGGAACCTGTGTGGAATTTTGTTTACCGTGTCAGAAGCATTTTTACAAGTAGACGAGATTTGTGCAAGACCATGTGAAAGAAACAGCCTGATTCCAGCATACAAAACAACTGAAGGGGGTGTGTCTCATCTGGGTGATTCAGGGATTCCATTCATCTCTATGTGCATATATGTGTTAACCCTGACAGATGGTTATCTTACAGACACAACAGCAGGTTTTTGCTTTTGCGTGTTTGTTTTTGTGTGAAAATGTCTGTACAAGCCGGGGAAATTGGTGGTATTTCAGACAACAAAACACTGAATGCACCTTGGAAAGGATGTGTTTGAAACACCACAATGACAACAGATTGTTCTTCTTCTTATTTTTTATTTCAGAGACTATTTCTTCTTTTCAGTTATTGCAGTTTCTTTCATAGACAAAGCAAATTCACTTCTGTTCATCTCTTTTTGTGTACCCGGGTATCCTCTGAAGTCGGGTATGTCCTGTGTTTTCATATGGGGGACCTTACAGTGACTTTCTTTGCATTTTGTGCCCAGTAAACTCTTTCATACTTTGTGTTTTCCTTAAACGAGGACATCTTTTAAATACCAATTTTTACTTACTTTTTAAAAAAAATACATACTAAAAGAAAATTCCAACTCATCTCAAATAGGAGATTTTAAAAGTGAGCTAATGTGTCAGGAAGTTAAACACTTTAAATTGACTTTGACTCAATTCAGCAAAGTCTGTTTTTTAATAATAGATGAATAGATGCATTTTTCCTATGTGGACAAAGTCTGAAGGTACTATTGCAACCTTTATCTGAAACATGTTCTTCTTGGGTGTTTTTCATAACTGTTCACCAATCTCTAAAATTCCCTCCATGAGGTTTTGTGAAATATTACTTTAGATGTTATGAGGCTTTCTTGCATGCACAGCTCGTTTTATATCTTTATCCACTCAATGTCAAAGAGACTCAAATAACTTTTTTTTCCTCTACAAGGCCACGTCACCACCTTCAGTTCTATTTAATCACAACATGCCGTGCGTGGGTTGCTAGGGTCCTTCTCCACAATACTGCAGAGTGGTTATCTTTACAGCTTTGAATTTGCCATTGTTGTGGGCTACATTCTCACCCCCGTGCTTCACAGCTGACATGGCTTTCTTCAGAAAGCTGCCTGGGGTTTGTGCCAAATATTTCTACAGTTACTGTGGCCGGGCAAAACGCTCTTATCTCTGCATGCCCGACTTTTTTACCTTTATCTTCTTTAGAAAAGTAACTGGTACTCTTCCACCTGTAATTAAGTTTCAGTAAAAGATATAGTTTCAATTTTTTTTTGATTGCTGGCCAGACTCAGAGACACCACACACGTGAACAGCAAAGAAACCATCACACCTCAGATGTCTGATTTCTAAAACCCCTAATTCTAATGTTATGGGTTTTAAAGTGTGATAACTTCCCTTTTCCATGTAAATTATCTGTTTTTCATGTAATCAAATCACCCGAGCTTTTCTATTTTCAGTATCATTAGTTTAAGAATATAATACTGAAAAACTATTAAACAGACACTGTTTTCAAAATGATTTTGCCTTTTCTAACATGTAAAGAAGGAGGCCATCATTTCTTGTCTAACTATAACTTTGATCACTGCTTGATTTATGTGTCTGTCACATAATGATGATGCACACGTTTGCCCCAAGATGGGACTGCTCATTCCGCAAAGAGAAAGCGAATTGTGCAAAAAATGAGGAAGCAAAATGCACAAAAGGCACAGCGTTAATGCAAAGATCCGATCGTTGCTAATGCAAATTCAGCAGCGCCTTGTTTCCTCAGTGACACACTGAAAATAACACCTGGCACGCTCGCTATTTTTTTAATGCATTTTAACCCTATCAGTTTCTGTTCAGGAGAACTGGCACAGCCAAACAAGTTATTCAGAAAGTCGCAAGAGCAACGTGCAGGGTCACGAAAGGTTTGTCTCCACAATGTTATGCACGTTTATAATAAACTGGCAGCATTCTATTACAATATAAAACCTTATAGAAAACACAAGAAACTTAACTGAAGTTTTATATGTAAAATAAATCATATGAGCAACAATAAAATATAAAAACATGACAATGAAAATTTGAAACTGAAGGTCTTTTTTTGTTTGTTTGTTTTTACGTTTGCCTTTTTTTCTTCAATAATTTGTGTACTTATGTAAAGGTTTAACTATAGCTAACTATTACATATATGCTTTTATTTTATTTATCAGCACATATTTAAAGACTAAGTTATGACTGATCAGAAACTTTACTATTTTTTAAGTTACAGGTGTTTAATCATCTTAAAATGTATTAACACTGTATAAAAAATGTAAAAAGATGTGAACATAAATAGGTAAATGGTTAGAAAATACAGATTCATCAATCTGTAAAAACACAAATATGGTTTAAATACATTTTACTGTAAAATCATGCATTTCGTTGCATTTTTATGGATTTTCTCATCAATGTAGTAAAATCCAGTCTCAACATCTTTCATTGTAAAATATCTCCCAAATTATGGTTTGTCTTATGAAATGTATAATAGTGTAAACCCCGCTGAAAATAACTCCATAAGATATCTCACTATTTGATGAAAGATTTGTCTGGTAATTAAGTGGCTCCGTGATTAATACAAGTTCAGTGATAATATATGTAAATTAGCACATTAAGCCCCGGCTCAAGACCAGGTGGGACTGGTAGGAGTAGGTATTTGTGGAAAAGCTCGAAAATCTGTGCCAATCAAAAATCAAAAACCCTGAATACTGTATAACTATATGGTTAGTCAGAGGGAGTCATTATCTGCTTCTACATACCAGGTTTCCTGTTTTGCTTCTTTTCATCTTTACATGGTTCTTTCTTATTAATTGTATTGTTCTATTGTATTGCTCTAAAGATGTCAGGCTTGGCAGCTACTGATGGTTCGTGTACCATATCTTTTAATTACACCAACAGTTTGCTTTACGACTGGCTACACAGGTTTGTGCTGGAGAGTACATTTTATTTATCAGCAAAAATATAAAAATAACCACACATCAAGTGTTTGGGTTGTTTTTGTTTGTTTTGGGGGGTTTGATCACCCAACCTAAGCGCATTTGATTATTACATTCAAACTTTAGAATGAATTGTACATAGTTACATCTTTAACCAAGAAAAGCAGCACTGTACTCACTTACATGGAGGTCAGACTGAAGAGTCCAGTTTCCTTGTAATCCCGTTGAGTGTGATCTCTAACAATGCGAGCAAAAGCCCTCTGTGAGGAAATTTAACAAAAAATCCAAAATGAAAAATGAAAATGCTTTGACATGACCAAACCAGTTGGTCTGGGGGAAGTGGGTACCAGCAGCATCATGGTGACAGACACCAGATTACTGACAAGACCCTGACAAGAAATCGCAGAATACCTTTCATGCTGCCAGTTAAGCAGAAAATGTCTAACAGCATAAACAACAACAGCAGGGGTTGCATTCAGGAATTTAGACTCTTTTGCCAATAACAGTGTCTGTATGAGCGATTAACATTGTTGGGGAAGTTAACTTGGTAATCCCGCCAGGTACAAGGTGTTGTAAGATATTTAATGTATTTTTAATGTATTTATAACAACATTGTTAACGTATGAGCTTTATTACAGTACTAAAATGTTTTCCTCTCTTATATGATAGATTTAATAATGTTGATTTACATAAAAGTCTAAACGAAAGCCCTGATTTGGATAAACAGTTGAGAATATTGATGACCTGATGATTTATAATCTCCAAACAGAGGATTCATGCTCACATCAAAACTTTTAGCACATCAGAAACATGTAACACATATTTGTGTTTTGACATTATTTTTGCTTCTTCCCGCAGGCGATACGGTCTCTCAATCACACCACCACACAGTACTGACCCACACATACAGTTCTTACACACACTGGACTTTCTGGACATTGTTTTCACTTCATCACTTAAATCACTTTAAGCATATTTGCACTGCACAAGACATAATGTGGATCGCACAACACTGGACACTACATTCTTCATTTCCAGTTAATACTTGTACAGCTGCTGTTATTGTGTATATATATATTTATATTTCTTCATACATTCTTATATAGTTCTATACTGTGTATTTTGTTGTACAGTCATTTTATTTTCAACTTTAATTTATATATTTTTATCTTATTCTCCCAGTTAAATTTACCCTTCATTCTAATTTGTGTTGTACAGTTATTTCATTTTTAACCTTAATTTATATTTTATTCCTTCCTAGTTAAATTTACCCTTTTTAATTTTTCATATTTATTTCCTATCTTATTCATAGCCTTTCCTTTTTTGTTTTCTTTAGGTCACGAGCAGTTGTCCAAGCATTTCACTGCATATCGTACTGTGTATGACTGTGTACGTGACAAATAAAATTTGAATTTGAATAATTGTACCTGATCATTTCCAGAGCAAAGCTTTCTGTTTGTTTGCAGAGAGGTGGCTGCCAAATAGCTATTTGCCAACGACTTGACTTGGCATCTCTACATGATGCGCAGTGTGTCCTTAAGAAATTTGAGGAAACTGGGCAGGTGGAAGACAAAAGAAAAAAATCTATCTATAGCAGATGAACTGAATCTGAAAGTCATGTCCTTAAAGAAATAATAAGCAGGCTAAGAGAACTCAGGCTGTGATGGAGAATAAAGATGATCACACCAATTTAACGATTTCTTGTTATTATTAGTATCATTGCAGAGTTATACTTATAATTCTACAAGCTTTGTTTACATACCGCATTTCTATTTATGTATTTATCTATGTGTGCATGTTAAAAAAAAAAAAAGGACTGCTGCACATGTTTCACATTTGCCTAACAAAATTTAAAGAAATGAGGGGCGGCGCAAGACGTGCAATACTGCATGTTTCATTTGTAGTTAGATGGAGAAGTCACAGCTTCTCTAAACCAGAAAACAATGGCTCACTTTGTTTTCAGACTTTTTAAGAAACCACACCTTCTTTTCCTTTTCCAACTAAGCTTGTAAATGGTTATCAGACTGGTCATAATATGTGCGTGTGTTTTGAGAAACATTATTCAACTTAGAAGCATTATTGCCTTGCTGAGCATAGGGCCTTTTCTAAGTAATTTGTGTGCTTTCCCCACACTCAATTAATCTCAGGTTACTTAATTTTCACATCAGGTTTCCCTATTTAAATAAGTCTTTAGAGTAATGTAGTCTATTTGTTTTCTTTTAGCTGATTCCTTAGAGGTCGCCGCAGTGGATCATCTGCCTCACCTCACCCTATCCCAGCATCCTCCCCTGTCCTCCTCAACAGCATCCATGAACCACCTATGTGGTTTCCTCTTCTCCTTCTGCCTGCCAGCTCATATTCATTTTTGCGTTGTCCAATATATCCACCATCCTCCTCTGCACACATCCAAACCAGCTCAGTCTTGCCTCTCTAACTTTGTCTCCAAACTATATCTGTCTTTTTGTAAGTTACACCTTCAAACCATGCACCACAGCAGGTCTCACTATCGTCATGAAAACCTTCCTTTTCTCCCTTACAGCAGTCTGTTCTAAATAAATAAATAGCCTTTTTTAAATAACAAGTATGAACAAGTGTTTCCTGATTAGTGCAGTTGCGTGGCCCTAAAATTGTGATTGATGTACCATTTACACTTATTAAGTCGCGGACACCTGTTTCTTTCTTATGAACCCGCCGCAGTACTGTCATTACGAATTTATTACAGGCATTATTTTAGACGCCCCAGTCTTATTTGGGCCCTGCGAGTAAAATACGCGGAAGTTGCGGGCGGAAGTAGCCTCGACGGAAGCGGTCGGGTCTGTCAGGGCAGGAAAAAATTTGCAGAATTTGACACAAAGAGGTGAACCCCACCAAACAACACCGCTTATCCCCCCTTTTCCTCGACACCGGCGTCCGCTGCCATGATCCTGTTAGAAATTAATAACCGCATTATCGAGGAGACGCTGACGCTCAAGTTCGACGGCGCATCCAACGGGTGAGAAATCATCGCTACACCTGGCTAGCACCGCTAGCTTCCCCTTTAGCTTCTTACAGAAGATGATGGCTTCATTTAAAGAAACGGGGGAGATCGGGTACAGCAGGTTCAACAAAGTTAAGCTATGTGGTCTAAAGAGTATTGATTTTTTTTAAAGTGCAGAAATACACATAGAGTTAGCTTGTTGCTCTGCCTCGACGAGCCGGGGTGTGTCTGCACGGGCGGTGTTGTGCCAAAAATTGTAACCCCATTGAATTTAATCTCCCCTGGCGGTTCTCCCACATACCTTGGAGATAAAACAACAAAGCACACAATAGATACTTAGGTTATATTTACACTGCGCTGCCAATAAATACGAAGCAAATATTTTTAAAAGGTTAGAAAGCCTTAAGGGAGCTAGCGGGAATAAAGCTAATTTATAAGCTTTTTTTTAAAAAAAAGATTAAGCTATTCCACACTGGTTGATAACATCATATGCAAAATCACAAACCGCCTATAAAAACTATTTTTATAAATATAGTATATATTTTTATATGAAGTGAGGACTTCATTTCTTTTTTTCGGACACAACAGGTTTGTCAAGGCAAACTATCTTCTCATTTCCGGTGTCACTCCACCACGGCAGATCAGATTATATGCCCGCGGTGTTTTCACTTAATAAAGACCATTTATTTGCCTTCCGCGGCAGTACATAAAGCTTTTAGTGGCTAAATGATAGCCAACCATCGCCCATCTCTCTCGCTTTTTCTCCTGCTTCCGCATTCCTGTAGTCAGGCTGAGTCAAGTCTGCTCTGCACCGCCAGCAGCTGCAGCTCCTCAGAGCATGAGCGTGTGGACAAGTCGCTGCAGCATCCACCTTTACACTGTTGATTTGCTACTGTGCATTCCCCAGGCATTGCTTAGATTGTTTTTTTTTTTTAAAGCTGTCGTGTCGCGATGATTCATTAAAGCTGTGACTCCATCATGACGTCATTACATAAAACATTTAAATGTTTTGCATTTTAGCAAGCGCACGGCTTCATCTTGCAATTAATTTGTCCCAGTCCTTGACCGGCAGCGGGAGTAATACCAGTATTGCACAGTACTGTAACTTGAACAGCAACTAACAGGTCCTGTTCAGATTATAATGTAGAAGAAATAATGAGGGTCAGTTCTGATTAACTCCCCATCCATGTATTTCACAAACTGGTAACCAGCTTACCGTGAAAACACCCTTGACTAAGCTACTCTACACGTACTGTAAAGCTAGAGATACTGTTGAGCTTTTATGGTTTTATCAGAGGAAGTGATTTAGTTTGGTCAGCTGCAACTGCTACTAGCAGTTCTTTTTGTTTCTCCTTTTGCAGAATAATGTCTGCAAATTCAACCATGTTATTGCATTTTTTTTTTTAAATCACCAAACATCGGTATTAGTATCATTCTTAAAAACCTACATTGGATGGGCTCTAATCATCTTTCATCATACAAATATAAAGAATCTAGTGGCAGTAATTATAACAAACGGGAAACAAAGCAATAGCTAGCTTGTTTGCAGTGTGTGGCTTTGAATGCTGCGATGACCCTTTTTGTTCCCTTTTTAACCATCAAGTCTACTTAAACCTCCTCACTACCTTCATTGTTTCTTTGTTTGTTTTGATGCTATTTAAGATGGTAAATTGAACTCCAGCTTTGTGGGCTTAACAAACTGGTCTCCTCATGTTGTTTCTTTTTCTCCTCACAGAACCAAACCAGAGGCCGTCGATGTGACGTTTGCGGGTGAGTGTCTCGTGCAGCAGCGTGCTATTTTTGCCCCGTTTGTACTATATTTGAATATCCGTGTTTAGATTTTAACACACAGTTTCAATAACGTGGCTCTCTCAGCCGAGTTGAGTCGTCATCACCAGTGTGCCCTTTTTGCTGTCTGGATAAGGAAGGAACTTTTTGCTGTTCTCCAAATTAAATGAAACCAAATCATATGAGCCAGTGTTGGATGGGCCGCATGACATTTCTTTAAATGACTTTAATGTAGTTCATATTATGGCTTATAGATTTCTGTGTGTGTTGTGTCGTGCAGTATTTTGTGTAACCCGCTGTGAAGAAGGTTGTAATGTAATGTTTGGATTTGATCAGACACAATCACATTTTGTGCACACCTATTTCAAAATTTAAAGGGTGGTGCTGATGGTGGTGTTGTCTTCAGTTTCCTATTATGCAGCCAGCTTATTGCACATGTTCCTGTAATCAGTGTTGAATCTGAGATTACTAAGACGTCTCGTCTGTCTAAGTGAGGAATGAAAAGATCGAGGCGTTCATTGGAGTCTTTCCTGAGTTGCTCACCGTGTCTCCTGTGCCTGTTTCAGCTGTGACTGAATGTGTTTAGCGCCTACTAGCATGTATTTTACTTATTTCTTATCCATTCCCTTGTCTTCTGTTTTATGTTTGTACAGCACTTTGGTCAACACGAGTTGTTTTTAAATGGGTTTCATAATTCATTTAAAGTTGAGCATTTCTCCCCCGCTGGTATTAACTCTGTGCCTGTGTGCTGCAGACTTCGATGGCGTCTTGTACCACATCTCCAACCCCAATGGGGACAAGACCAAAGTGATGATCAGCATCTCTCTGAAGTTCTACAAGGAGCTGCAGGATCATGGAGCTGACGAGGTAAAACACACACACAAAAGAGAGCGAGAGGCTGGAAAATGTTTCTCAAAACCTGAATACAAAGAATCAGATGATTTTTTTATTTAGCATGTATGACACAGAGGCCTTTGCAGAGTCTTGATTATAGCTGGTTTCACATCCTCTACAACACAAGAACATTCTCGTTATACAGAAAGTGCAATTAAGGATAACCTTAAAAGGGTTATTATTATCACATCTATGGTTTAAATCAGGGACTAAAGCTGCTTTGTATGATTGGTCATCTTATAGCTGTCCTTTCTGCAGCTCCTCAGTTCACCCTTTATCTGAACCCACACACTGTAGGTCCTGTCTCTTTAAGCCACGCTCTCTAAAAGCCCCTTTTTTCTGCTTAGCTCTCCCTCATGTGGGATTTTACAAACAGAACCTACTTCTTATAAACTCGACTTTGGCTATGATGACCATATAAGGCGATCCACGATGATGTCAGCTCAGCACAAGAGTAGGAAAAAGCAGTTGTGAACCGAGGCTTAAGTACAGTCACAGGGGGTTACCTTCTTTCCATTCAGTCGCCTTTTTACGGCTATACTTAATATGAGTCAATTATTGTGATATTGTTTTAATGTGACTTTAAACTTCTTCTAACATGCTGTGGTGTCACAATAAACCAGCCCTGCATGTCCAGCTGCAAACGTGGGTAGAATCTGGTATAAACGTCCACCACACTGCTGGCTGCTGTCTGTACCACGCTTCGGTGTCACTCAGAGGCCTGTGTCCTTTTATGTCTGTGCTGGCGTTTGATACACACATGCAGCATTATTCAGTGCTGTGCATTGGTCCATTTATGCTCTGTTATTCTAAGCAGTGAATAGAAGCTGATCAAAGGCAGATTAAGGGAGAAAACTGCACAACCAAGCAAAATATGTTTTGGTTTCCTTTTAAAGAGGGTAAATCCGGGTGGTCATGGCACCTGCTGCTTTGTTTTGCATTTTTTTGTGTTGGTGTTTCATCCTTGAGCGCACTAAAAGTGCCCGAGGTTCATCCAGGCTTGAACATAAAGGACCTTTAGTTTTGCTTTGTTCTTCAGCACGATATATGATTATTTTAGTGAAAAGCACTAAAACAAACGTGAGGTTTTGGGTTTGTTTTTTGTGGCATCTGATTGAAATATGCTTAGCTTTGTTCAGTTTTCTTCTACCAGATCCCTGATTGGTACATGAGAGTTAATCTGGGACAGTGCGTGCAAGTGTCTTTCATTGCACACTTTGATTTCAGTGATAATAAACCTGAGTGCAAGTGAAACTGTAAAAAGAGCCATGGGTTCAGGCAAGGCTGCTACTGAATTTGATTCCTGATGATGGTGAGTCGATCTGAGATATAAAATAAAAGTAGAATGAGGTCATTATTTCCCTCCACACACACAAACACACACAAACCTACACAAGTGCTCTGTTGCCATGTAAGGAAGAAAGCAGCCGCTGAGGCTTTCAGTAGAAACAGGAAGTGTGTGTGTGTGACTCACCCCAGGCGAGGAAGTGCTGACTGCGAGCAGCAGCCACTGTGTATGAAAGGCTTGGCTGCTGCCCAGCCGCTTCGCCCCTCCTCGTTCCCTGAAGCTGGGAATAGCGGTGTGAATAGTGGCACATTCGTTTTATTCTTCCTGTGACGAGTCAGTTTGGAAAACAGTTTTTGGATGAGCGGCGCAGGGGCTGTTTTTTAAGCCGCTTGCTCGTTCGCACACACACTAAAAACTAAATAGGCGCTACACACATTCAGTGTTTGCATGAATTAACACAATGACAGTTTCCTAAAGCTTGGCAGAACGTCAGCTGAGATTTAAAGACACAGTTGATGCTTGTCTGAGATTTCTTGTGAGGAGATCCCAGGGTTTGGGTGTGATAACAGCAAAGGCACGAGCCCCCTTTGAAATAAGCTTCAACTGCTTAATAGTGAAAAGTGATCAGGAAGCTTATCAAGATAATTTAAGGCTTTAAACTCCAACAGTGTCACTTTACTCTGGATTCTGTAAAGCACAGGCTGCAAACGTTTTGTCCCAGTCAGTAATCTGGCCGCAGCATATGATTGAGCAACTCCAGTATGCAGCGCAAAACAGCAGCCCAGTCTGTGGGTGGAACACAAGGCATGCATAACCACAAAAAGTTTGGGACAAACTGCTCTCTTGACTTTGCTGCGTTGATTTGTCAAAGATTATCTTAAAGTTCTTAACCTGCGTTTTAATAAAAGGAGTTCAAAAGCCCAGGTTACCCATCAGCCACTCTGTTAGAGGACCAAACAATGTGAAACTTAGCCCTCTTATGGAACAGCTGTTTCATAGGTAAATACAGTTGTAAACCATCTACATAGCAGCAAAATCAAATGTGATGTTGGTATGTCGAGTAATTTGACCTAAAGGGAGCAAGTACAAGGAAGAAAGAGCAGACCCCTGTGAGGAGACTGCGACGTTTTTGTGTTGGATTCTTGCTGTTGGTCTGATTTGCATATTGCTCTGTTCATTCCTGAATGACAGGCATCTATTACAGAGGAGCCTCCGACCTTTCATTACCTCCTTGAAACACACACACCTCCTTCCTGTCACAGTACAAGTCTTTCATTGAGCGGCAAGTTTGTTTAGCCACCTCTCTGCTCTGTCGTAAACCACATACTTAAAACGGACCTCTCACGCTCTTATCTCTTATACACATGAAATTCCGGATGTTCAACAAGTCAGTGTATGTACGAGTAATTCCCAGGAGGTAGAAACTCTATTACAAACATTTGTTTTCTACTCTCAGCTCTGTATGATGTCAGTAAGAGTGGCTATATCACATTTTAACATCCAAACACCAATCCAAGCGTTGACTCTACGGCAGTAATAAAGCTTCAGTGGCCATTTTTCTCCTTTGGATCGAGACACAAACCCAGGCTCCTGTGTCAAAAGCTAGTTTCCTTCTGATACTCGTCTCGAGTCCTGATATCAGTATGTAGATGCGTCCACTGTGGTGAGAAGTCTTGGGACATGAGGAAGCTGCCAAAAGTATATTAGAATTGATAAATCTATTAATGAATTTATGTTGTGTTCTTAGATATTAATCTGGTATTATATTGAGGTTTCTCATGTGACGTCATTAGCACATGCCATATTCTATGTGATGGAGCCACCAGTTGTTAGGGAAAAATGTGTGTTCTCCCACTGGTTGGCAGTGATTCTTTAAAGCTGTAGCGATTGCTTTGGTTTTCTGTAGTTTTTGGTGTTTGTCTGCAAATATCTGTTAACTGCAGGCCCAGCGGTAGTTCAGATTGAAAAGGACGTGGATAAGATACAGCTTGAATCTAATTAGAAGTAGAGAACATTGTTTTTTAAAGTAAAAGTTATGCCGCAGCACTGCAGCCAACATGTTTCAGAAGGTGCAACTTTTAGTCTGAAAGTTGACCTTTCCCATTTCCTGTTAGCGTCACACTGCTCACAGTATCACTACAGCTCAAAGTCCATCACTTCCCTTTAAATACAGACCGCAGCGTTATGCTAGCTGACAAAGGCAGTCACAAGAAGGTTTTTTGCTAACCGGTCAAGAACTGAGCGTTTCTATTGACAGGCGGTTGGCAAGGCATCATTGACCAGCATGAAGTCCTGCCTGATTGGGTCTTTAAAAGTTATTTTCCCCACCAACTCCCGTCAACTTCTAGAAACCACTTAAAACCAGTTAGAGAATACTATGCGGGTAGTTGCCAGATGGTTGCAGATCTCACAGGATTCCCACCACATGTGAAAACTACTAAGTTTTCCAAGAAAATGAAAGATCTGTTTTGAAAGTGGTTAAAAGAAAGCCTCCAACTTTTAATTTTTCTCCTCTGTGCTATTAAAGCCACACCTTTGGAGTCGGGCCTCTAACAATACTCTTCAATTAACAGAGTAATTATTCAGTGTTTTTTTTTTTTTTAGGCCCATTGAGTAATCTGTCTTTTGCTGTTGTGCTACATTTGTTCTGTGCAGTGCAGCTCTTGAAAAACCACAATACGGATGTGTGTTACAAATAAAGTTCATATTTTTAATTCCAGTTGCTCAAGAGGGTCTATGGGAACTTCCTGGTTTCACCAGAGGCGGGTAAGGTCTTTTTTTGAGCTCTTTTTTCTGCAAGTTTCAGAAATCAGCTGAGCCTTGATGCTGTTTTTTTCCCTCGACTGTAAAAATAAAAGCTCTACATGTATTATATTACAGGCTACAACGTGTCCCTCCTCTACGACCTGGACGTTCTACCAGCCAACAAAGATGAGGTTGTCCACCAGGCCGGCATGCTCAAGAGGAACTGCTTTGCCTCAGTGTTTGAGAAATATTTCAAGTTCCAGGAGGAAGGCAAAGAGGGCGAGAAGAGGGCCGTGGTCCACTACAGAGAGGACGAGTCCATGTGAGTGTGTCATGAGAAACATTTAGGAAAGCAAGAGTTAAAGACATTTGTTAGTCATTTCAGCACAGGTCTTAAAGTATATCAAAAATAAATTGATGTATTTCGGACCTCGTTCCTGTCATTTCTCTGGAAGCCAACATAACTTGTGGTCGCTGCAGGTATTTGGAGGCCAAGAAAGACAGAGTGACGGTGGTGTTCAGCACAGTGTTCAAAGACGACGACGACGTCATCATCGGCAAAGTCTTCATGCAGGTGTGTGTGAGGCCACAGTTACTGATTTCTACTGTCTTTAGCTCCTTTTCCATTCGTACCTACTCGGATCGACTCGACTTGGATGGACGTCGAGGGAAGAATATACGTGCTTCTCTGATCGGTCTGTGGCTATTTATCAGACTTGAACACTGCGTTTTTGTTGGTTTTTTTATACCCATTTCCTCTGTTGCTGAGTTTCAAAAAAGGCGGTTTTAATTTTGGCCAGCCAATCAGTGGCATGAGTCTGATGATGACACATTTTAGTACCTGTTTGGAACCTCTGCAGAGCAGATATTTTAAAAGTACCTGGTTCCAAGTGAATGGAAAACCCTGAAAACAGTAGCGAACTGTGCCGAGTCGATCCGAGTAGGTTCTAATGGAAACGGGGCTTTAATTTGCATTACCGCCTCCTACTGGACCAGAGTGGAGCACTTTCATGTAACATATTCCTGTAATTCCAACCACTGACTCCAACTGTATTGCCCTCTCTCTTTTTCTTTTTTCATTTTGATAATTAAAGAAGCTTTAAAAAAGTGCTGCAAACATATTTTTCCTGTGTGTAGGAGTTCAAAGAGGGTCGGAGAGCCAGCCACACAGCTCCCCAGGTGCTCTTCAGCCACAGGGAGCCTCCTCTGGAGCTGAAGGACACAGACGCCGCCGTCGGGGACAACATCGGATACATCACTTTCGGTCGGTGCTTTGTTTTTAGTTTAACAAAGACTCGCATTTGCTGATCACTTCACAGCCAACGCAGTGGTTTTAATTTGTTGCTTTGTGTTTTCAGTCCTGTTTCCGCGTCACACCAATGCCAATGCCAGAGACAACACCATCAACCTCATCCACACCTTCAGGGACTACCTGCACTACCACATAAAGTGCTCCAAGGTGAATTCACCTCAGCCAGTCACTCCTGTACACTTGATGGTTTTATTTACTTGGCAGCACATCATACACAGAGAAAACTGATAGTAAAAGTTTTCCGGGTTTCAAATAATTTTACACAACAAAAGTTGTTGTTTTCTTTTGGTTTTTTTACTTTCTTTGCTTTAATCCTTGATCCAGCCCGATCTTTGTCCCAAGTAATAAATGCTTGTTTTGTTCGTTGCAGTGTTAGTTCTGAGCTGTTTGGTTGTGTTTGAAGGGCCCTGACAGGTGAACTCAAGTCAGTAAACACACCTGCCAAAGCTGAAAGCTAAAAACCACAAACAATCCTCCACCGCGATAGTGCGGTTTTTCTCTTTTTCTTTCTCTACAATACAAAGTCCCGCTGTCGGTGAGATCTCGTCTGACTACCCCCAAGAGGGCGTTTGTGTAGATGCGACGACCCACGAAACAAGACTTGCTTAAGCACGATTGCTCGAACGTGCTTCCTGTAACCCCTAATCAGTGCATGTTTTGTATGACTGACATTTCAGAGATGTGGACGTTGGTTGTCTTTGTCTCAGACAGTGAGCTGACGAGGCAGATGTATTTATAGGCAAGGCAAATTTATTTGTATAGCACAATTCAACAAGAAGGTGATTCAAAGTGCTTTACAATTTATAGGCTTAAATGTTAGAAATGCGATGATCTAAACTTAGAAAACAAACAACCGCTATTTTTTCCGAGCATGAGCAGTTTCACTCGAGCGATTAGCACAGAGCAAAGCATGCATCCCCCCCCTCCGCCCCGCAGCCTTGCGACCAGGGGAAATGTGCCAACACTGGAGACTAAACACTTAACATCATTCAATCACATGTCCCGTCTCTTCCGCAGGCCTACATTCACACACGTATGAGAGCCAAGACGTCAGACTTCCTCAAGGTGCTGAACCGCGCTCGACCCGACGCAGAGAAGAAGGAGATGAAGACCATCTCGTAAGTAGCCTCTGCTCTCCTCCCTGTTTCTGTCAAACGGAGTTCAACTGATTATATTTGACTTAACACAACCTCACCTGCACTTTAAGGCTTCAGCTTTAGCGCATTTCAGATCTTGCACAAGGATGTGTTCGGGAATCAGAAGCATCTTTGTTCGTGAAAACTTATAAAAAAGGCAAAACAAGCGGCGGATTCAGGCTGGGGATACTATCTCAGCACTCCTGTTTTTACAAGATAAAAGCGCCTCTTTCATCTTTCAGTCTGTGTGTTTTTGAGGTGTGCAGCATGTTTGCCTGCATAGTTTTCTGCTGTTTGAAAGGTGCGCATACATACAGCGTGAGCTCAGAGAGGCTTTGCACCGAGGCTAATGTGTAACCGAAATAGGAACGATTCGATTGGAAGACTGGACGAGTGCCACTCGCTGCTTCGGCAGTTAGCTGATAAACATTTCTGTTGAATCTCAGGTTGACGACTGACGGGGAAAAAATGTTGATGTGAACACAAAACTGAAATCCAAGTGTCAGTCACCTTTAATGTCACGCAATGACACAAAAGCATGCGACAGATTCCCTTATATGATTGGCTGATTAGATGTGATGATAGCGTTACTTGTGTAGCACTATCGTTTTTGATGTTCAGGTATGCACAAAGATGAATGGAATCTTTCAGTAGCTCTCAGAGGGCCTGCCAAAACAAGATACAAACAGGAAATGCACCAACAACAACCTGTAAATATGTCCTTTTTTAAATGGCTGAGGATTACAACGTGCAGTCCTTTTTGTTGAACTGTTTTTTTTAACTTGACTCCGTTTCTTGGAAACTTGTTTACATCCAAAGCTGGAGGCAGCAGTCAGCATGTGTGACACAAATAAGGGGAAATGTTGTGTTTAGCTTGTTTTTTAAGGCAGGAGGGAGTCGGGCTCGCTCACTGTTCACTGGTTCTGTCTTCATTTTTATCATAACATGTGACCGATGTTCATGTTCTCATCTGACAAAAAACTGTTTTGTCTTTACGTTTTCAGTGGAAAGACCTTCTCCCGCTGAGGCCGACCCTAACCTGAAGAAGTACAATCCACCCCCGCCCCCCCACCTCCTGTGGGCATGCCCAGACGCGCCACAATGAGACTTAACGCCACATCAGACCGGACTTCAGGAAGCCTCTAATTCCCCGCCCGCCCTCCCAGCCTCTCATGTCCAGACTTTTGTTTTGTTTTTGTTTGTTTTTTTTATTCTTATTTGGTTGAATAATAATGCTGTCCGTACCTGAGGAAACCCTCACAATACATGGAAAAAGGGCATTCCTTGCTTTGCATAGTTAAAAAGAAAAGAAGAATTATTAGTCCTATATAAATATATATATGATAAAACTGAAATTTTTGATACGATATCTTTTACTCCATTTGGTACTCTTGCTTGCCCTCACAGTCATGATGGATGATTTCAGTCCCCTCTGTACTTTCATGTCTTCTGTACCGTTGTCATGAAAAAAAGAGAAATAAATCACGCTTTAAAAAAAGCATCTTTTTGTTCACTTTTTTTCACTTGATAAAATTTTATCAAGTGAACTGTTTGCTTACTGTCCTGATAATGAGAGAGACAAGACTTGCTTAAGCACGATTGCTCGAACGTGCTTCCTGTAACCCCTAATCAGTGCATGTTTTGTATGACTGACATTTCAGAGATGTGGACGTTGGTTGTCTTTGTCTCAGACAGTGAGCTGACGAGGCAGATGTATTTATAGGCAAGGCAAATTTATTTGTATAGCACAATTCAACAAGAAGGTGATTCAAAGTGCTTTACAATTTATAGGCTTAAATGTTAGAAATGTGATGATCTAAACTTAGAAAACAAACAACCGCTATTTTTTCCGAGCATGAGCAGTTTCACTCGAGCGATTAGCACAGAGCAAAGCATGCATCCCCCCCCTCCGCCCCGCAGCCTTGCGACCAGGGGAAATGTGCCAACACTGGAGACTAAACACTTAACATCATTGAATCACATGTCCCGTCTCTTCCGCAGGCCTACATTCACACACGTATGAGAGCCAAGACGTCAGACTTCCTCAAGGTGCTGAACCGCGCTCGACCCGACGCAGAGAAGAAGGAGATGAAGACCATCTCGTAAGTAGCCTCTGCTCTCCTCCCTGTTTCTGTCAAACGGAGTTCACCTGATTATATTTGACTTAACACAACCTCACCTGCACTTTAAGGCTTCAGCTTTAGCGCATTTCAGATCTTGCACAAGGATGTGTTCGGGAATCAGAAGCATCTTTGTTCGTGAAAACTTATAAAAAAGGCAAAACAAGCGGCGGATTCAGGCTGGGGATACTATCTCAGCACTCCTGTTTTTACAAGATAAAAGCGCCTCTTTCATCTTTCAGTCTGTGTGTTTTTGAGGTGTGCAGCATGTTTGCCTGCATAGTTTTCTGCTGTTTGAAAGGTGCGCATACATACAGCGTGAGCTCAGAGAGGCTTTGCACCGAGGCTAATGTGTAACCGAAATAGGAACGATTCGATTGGAAGACTGGACGAGTGCCACTCGCTGCTTCGGCAGTTAGCTGATAAACATTTCTGTTGAATCTCAGGTTGACGACTGACGGGGAAAAAATGTTGATGTGAACACAAAACTGAAATCCAAGTGTCAGTCACCTTTAATGTCACGCAATGACACAAAAGCATGCGACAGATTCCCTTATATGATTGGCTGATTAGATGTGATGATAGCGTTACTTGTGTAGCACTATCGTTTTTGATGTTCAGGTATGCACAAAGATGAATGGAATCTTTCAGTAGCTCTCAGAGGGCCTGCCAAAACAAGATACAAACAGGAAATGCACCAACAACAACCTGTAAATATGTCCTTTTTTAAATGGCTGAGGATTACAACGTGCAGTCCTTTTTGTTGAACTGTTTTTTTTAACTTGACTCCGTTTCTTGGAAACTTGTTTACATCCAAAGCTGGAGGCAGCAGTCAGCATGTGTGACACAAATAAGGGGAAATGTTGTGTTTAGCTTGTTTTTTAAGGCAGGAGGGAGTCGGGCTCGCTCACTGTTCACTGGTTCTGTCTTCATTTTTATCATAACATGTGACCGATGTTCATGTTCTCATCTGACAAAAAACTGTTTTGTCTTTACGTTTTCAGTGGAAAGACCTTCTCCCGCTGAGGCCGACCCTAACCTGAAGAAGTACAATCCACCCCCGCCCCCCCACCTCCTGTGGGCATGCCCAGACGCGCCACAATGAGACTTAACGCCACATCAGACCGGACTTCAGGAAGCCTCTAATTCCCCGCCCGCCCTCCCAGCCTCTCATGTCCAGACTTTTGTTTTGTTTTTGTTTGTTTTTTTATTCTTATTTGGTTGAATAATAATGCTGTCCGTACCTGAGGAAACCCTCACAATACATGGAAAAAGGGCATTCCTTGCTTTGCATAGTTAAAAAGAAAAGAAGAATTATTAGTCCTATATAAATATATATATGATAAAACTGAAATTTTTGATACGATATCTTTTACTCCATTTGGTACTCTTGCTTGCCCTCACAGTCATGATGGATGATTTCAGTCCCCTCTGTACTTTCATGTCTTCTGTACCGTTGTCATGAAAAAAAGAGAAATAAATCACGCTTTAAAAAAAGCATCTTTTTGTTCACTTTTTTTCACTTGATAAAATTTTATCAAGTGAACTGTTTGCTTACTGTCCTGATATAGGATAGCCAAGAGTGAAAAAACTGAACTCTTTTGCAGTGTGTTTGGGGACACACAACTAAAAGGAAGTTTGTTGTGTGGAGCCAGCTGAGGTGGTTCAGGCATCTGACGAGGATGCCTCTTGGGCGCCTCCTGGGTGAGGTGTTCCAGGCATGTCCCACCGGGAGGATGTCCCAGGGAAGACTCAGGACACGCGGAGAGATTTATCTCTCGGCTTGGCCTGGGAACGCCTTGGTGTTCCCCGGATGAGCTAGAGGAGGTGGCTGGGGAGAGGGAGGTCTGGGCTTCTCTGCTTAGGCTGCTGCCCCCGCAACCCAGCCCCAGATAAGCAGAATGGAGATTGATGGATGGTTTTTGTGTGTTTATTAGTTGAGGTTCTTCAGTTTTCAAGGATTACCTGGTCCTGGAGAAATCGGGAACAAAGGCGACTAAGGTGACTTTGAATGTGGGATTGTTGTTCAATTCAATTCAATTTTATTTATATAGCGCCAAATCACAACAAAAGTCGCCTCAAGGCGCTTCATAGATACAGAGAAAAACCCAACAATCATATGACCCCCTATGAGCAAGCACTTTGGCGACAGTGGGAAGGAAAAACTCCCTTTTAACAGGAAGAAACCTCCGGCAGAACCAGGCTCAGGGAGGGGCGGGGCCATCTGCTGTGATTGGTTGGGGTGAGAGAAGGAAGACAGGATAAAGACATGCTGTGGAAGAGAGACAGAGGTTAATAACAGATATGATTCAATGCAGAGAGGTCTGTTAATACATAGTGAGTGAGGAAGACTGGAATCCATCACATCCGCTGGGAAGACTGGTTCCACAGAAGAGGGGCCTGAAAACTGAAGGCTCTGCCTCCCATTCTACTTTTAAATACTCTAGGAACAACAAGTAGGCCTGCAGAGCGAGAGCGAAGTGCTCTAATAGGGTGATATGGTACTACAAGGTCATTAAGATAAGATGGGGCCTGATTATTTAAGACCTTGTATGTGAGGAGCAGGATTTTGAATTCTGGATTTAACAGGAAGCCAAAACAGGAGAAATCTGCTCTCTCTTTCTAGTCCCTGTCAGGACTCTTGCTGCAGCATTTTGGATCAGCTGAAGGCTTTTCAGGAGTTTTTAGGACATCCTGATAATAATGAATTACAGTCGTCCAGCCTGGAAGTAATAAATGCATGAACTAGTTTTTCAGCGTCACTCTGAGACAGGATATTTCTAACTTTAGAGATGTTGCACAAATGGAAGAAAGCAGTCTTACATATTTGTTTAATATGTGCATTGAAGGACATGTCCTGGTCAAAAATGACTCCAAGGTTCCTCACAGCGTTACTGGAGGCCAAGGTAATGCCATCCAGAGTAAGAATCTGTTAGATACCATATTTCTAAGTTTTCAGGGCCGAGTACAATAACCTCAGTTTATCTGAATTAAGAAGCAGAAAGTTAGCGGCCATCCAGGTCTTTATGTCTTTAAGACATTCCTGCAGTTTAACTATTGGTGTGTGTTATCTGGCTTCATGGACAGATAGAGCTGGGTGTCATCTGCATAGCAGTGAAATGTATGCTATGTCTTCTAATGATGCTGCCTAAGGGAAGCATGTATAATGTAAACAGAATTGGTCCTAGCACTGAACCCTGTGGAACTCCATAATTAACCTCAGTGTGTGAAGAGGACTCTCCATTTACATGCACAAACTGGAGTCTATTAGATAGATATGATACAAACCACTTGTTGGTGAGTATTTTAGAAATTGCTAATCTACTGACATTTTTCCCAGACAACCAACTCTGGAGTTTACAGAGGATGGTCTGAACAACAGAAAATAAACACAGTGAGCTGCAAAATGTTGCTGCCAGAGGAGAACAGCCAGACTGCTTTGAGCTGAAATGAAGGCAGCAGTAATTCAAATAACCACTTGTTACAACCAAGGTATGCAGAAAAGCATCTCTGGATGTGGAGAAAATCACAA